TTAAATGTTCTAGCCTAAAAATGTTAGACGAGCTTTCTTCCAACTTACCTTCTCCATCACGACCTATGATCACGACGTGTGTTCGCGCGATATTGTTGGTTACCTAGTAACGAACGTACGGTGGCCGAAAATGTGTGTGCGTACGTTCGCGCGATGGCCGAGAATGTTCCGTCAACTTCCGTGTGTTCGCGCATCTATGTTGCCATAGTAACGAACGCAATCTGGCCGAGATACAGAGGCGCTGGCGGCAGGAAACTTCACTTTGTGTGCCTGCGCCTCATATACAACGTTATATAAAGCTTGCAGGACAACTTGGTTGGCATTGCCTTTTCAGCGTGAGAAATACATGGTGTGGCGTGTGAGCGTGTGAACTGGTTGAATTGCGTGTGTCTCACGGCCAATGCGTGAGACTTGAGAACCCTGCCCGTACCGTTTCGGTTCGATACGAATACATGTACCGTTCCACCCCTATGTCTTGATGCATTGACTTTTAAGTTCATTTAGTTGTATTGCCGCCTTTAGTTTTTAATGTAAAGGCTCATGCATTCCTCCTAAAACTCTTGTTGTCCCAGAACCCAAGACTTGTTCTGACCAGTGTCTTTGTCCACAAACGGTTTAGATTTTCTCCCTTTTTTTTGTGAAAAACCACCCTTGTGGGTAGAACGTAAAGGTTGAACGTAAATATGGGATGCTCTGTGAAATGAGAGTTTAGGGATCACGTTAAACTGGAGCGTTTCCTTGGAACCGACGTGTTCATGGGACCCCGTGACCCTTTACTGCTCCCAAGAGTTCACCATTAGTTCTATCATACTTTGTTTCTTGTCCGTCCACCCTCTCTTTTCTCTCATGCACAGAATTGCAAGTGGTGCCCTGACACAAAAATGACCCTGAAAAATGTCAAAGCCTGTCTGAAAATGGCATTCCTCGCAGATAGTTGTAGACAGGCTGGCTTTGGTGTGGTGGTGTGAATATGCGTTATGTGTTTGAGAGCGTCACTGATGACACACTGAGCTGTAGAAACATCCTGCTTTTTTGGGGGGGGTGGGAATGATTGTGTGTATATGCTTGTCTTGTAACTGTAGAGAAAGTCCAGATGTTTTTCATGTATCCCCTTTCTCTGGAATTACTTCAGCAAAAATCAATATATCAGCTGAATCCATCCATCCCTCACATTTGTTCCCCCTTTATCCTTTTACTTCCTCAAAAAGTGCCTAAAATACCTCTGTTCCCTTAAACGTTCACCACAAACCTGGACAATCAACAAGCGTTTTCACTTCAAGTCCCTGGAGCAGGCACGTGGAGGACCAACGTGAAACACGAGGCAGGAAGTGAATTAGAGAGGAGATTTTGACTTCACGTCTGCACCAGACACCGTCACCTCACCCTCGCCCACCCCGAAAAGCCCTGCGGAGGAACATTAATGGCATGTAAATATTTTGATATCTGGATTCCATGAATGTAAAAGAAGGTGGTCCTGTCCCAGCTGGCACCTCAGCAACTGAGGAATGTCTGGACGACGAGGGGCTTCCTCCCCCTCATTTAGTCTTGCTGCTACCGTTTCCATCGCTTACACGTGCTCTTAAACGCAGTCAGATGTGGGATTGGTTTCTCACTTCTATGAATGACTGTAAGTGCGTATGTCTCAGACATACTGCTGTATATTAGCTGAAAGACAGCATTTACAATCTCAAAGACCTCTTTGTCGGGTCTTATTACTACTAAAAAGCCACATGCCACGAAGGAAAGGTGACGTGATTTAATGAAATCTGTTTGGTCGTACACTTACTTTAAGATTATTAGCAGTGGGTTAGTCACTTGACAGTTCATTTAAGCACTGTTCCATAAGCACTGTAGTCGCGTATGGCGAGGCGTTTGTACATATTGACAAAAATGTATACCTGTTTTGTTGTGTATAAAAGCACCTGTCAAATGTGAGAATGTAGATATCTGTAATGAGTCATGTTATTTGTGCATCTAATGAACATCTTTAAAAGGGGGTTGAACATTCGATAAATACCTTTAAAAGGTAGTGCTGTAGGGACAATTTTCAGAATAGGAAAAAATACTTTGTATAAAAACACATTAGCTGCATCTGAAATCACATTCTTTCTAGTAGGTACTACATTTGATGAGCAGCTTCACAGCCGTATGAAAAAAAAAGTTCTATATAATATGAATGTATGGTATGAATGAAATTTGGACCCATTACATTCGCCATGCTGTCATTGTCATGTGACTTACTTCTTCAGTTGCGTCGTTTCACTGCCATTCACAAATCATCTTATGAATATGTATTCAGGCATACTTACTCTTTTCAGATACTGTTGTGTTTCTCACGTACTATGTAGGGAAGAAGGCCTGAACTACAATGTTGATAGCTAATGGGTGTCTGGCACTAAATCAGTATTTTATTTATACAGCAATGTCAGACTTTTTTTCTTGGATTAGATAAAGAGGACTGTTATCTGGAGTAGTTTGCTTCATTTCATTTATTTTAAAGGGACTTACAGTACAAATTAGATTCACATTTCATCACCATCTGTGTTCAATGGGAATTGAACCCACAACCTTGCCATTGCTAGGGCTTTGCTCTACCAATTGAGCTACAGGCAAACTAAAAGGCATTTCATGTACATTCACAGTGTTTTAGGGTCAAACCTTAGATTTGAAGCCTTGATGGCTCCTGTCAAACTTGTCATCCTATCAGTCAGAGAGATTATACCATTGCCTTCATTGTTAGTCACTGCATGTTGGGTCTTGGACCAGACATTCTTCAAGCTTCACAAGGCGCAAACTGTTGGTTCAAATGTTATGTACAGAGAACATTCCCTGTTAGCCTGATATTTTATCCCTTAAAAGGTGCTTGATGTATCACCGAACTCCTGCATGGCATTTTGATAAGTAAGTCTACTACAGCTGGCGAAGGATTGCATATATATATATAGAGATTTATAAACATTCCAACGGTATTTTTTTTTATCAGTATGTTGAAAAAACCCCAAATGTACCTGTGCTATCATCGTAGCTCAACCTCTGAAATTTGACAAAGCCTGAGATTGATTAAGCAGGGCGTCTCTTTGGTGTAAAAATATGCTGTGGAAGGGTCTGGTTTATTTAGGCGGAGGTCACGCTATCGGGCAACAGGCGTGGACTCTTCCTCACATATGGCTGGATGACCCCGTCCCAAACCCTCAGCTTCAACAGTCAGCTCTTTAGTTTCCTCCAGACTTCCAGTGCTTAAGAAAACAGGGATGTGTCTGACTTGAGAGCCCACTTCAACTCAACCCATTGGTCTGGCCTTTATATAGTAATATTTACATTTAACTCAGTTCTGCTCACTCTGCATCTAGAGCATTTAGGTCCATGTGAGGCCGCCACATTCCTTTGGTTTTAGCCTGCTGGCCAACTTTCTCTCTCTCTCTCTTTTCTTTCATGCACATCAAATTGAACACATGAACACACGCTGAAATTAAATTAGAAGCCTCAGTCTTCGTCTTATGTTTACCGTGGTCAGTTAAAACATCCAGTAACCACCTCCTTGTTAATAGTACAACATTTCTGGTGGTTTTACACATCTAAAACATTCCTTTTAGGTGATAATACGGCAAACAGCCCTTGTGAGAACACGTGAGCTAGCAACAACACTGTAAAAAGTGATCAGTTGACTTAAAGGACTAGTTCACCTCAAAATGAAAATTTCCTGATAATTTACTCACCCCAATGCCATCCAAGACGTTCATGTCTTTCTTTCTTCAGTGGAAAAGAAATTGAGTTTTTTGAGGAAAACATTTCAGGATTTTTCTCCACACAATGGACTTCAATGGCAACCAACATGTTGAAGTCCAAATCAATGCACTTTCAAAGGGCTCTGCATGTTCCCAGTTGAGGAATAGGGTCTTAAATAGCGAAACGATTGGTCATTTAAAAAAAAAACGAAAAAACATTTATATACTTTTAACCACAATTGTTCATCTTGTGCTGGTCGGCGACGCGCCAGGCATTACGGCATCACGTTGGAAACGTCACCATTTTTTTTTTTTTTTTAAATAATAATACAAAGATGTCAGACGATTTTGAAGTTGGGGTAGAATACGGGAGAAAATGAGATGGAATTTTTCGCCTTTCCCTGCCTTTTTGAACCGGAGTGCACAGACAAATAAATTAGATAGATGACGTGACGCGTGACGTTTCCAACGTGATGACGTAATTCCTGGCGCGTCGCAGACCAGCACAAGACGAACAATTGTGGTTAAAAAGTATATAAATGTATATAGTTTTTAGAAAATTACCGATCGTTTCGCTAGATAAGACCCTATTCCTCAGCTGGGAACCTGCAGAGCCCTTTGAAGCACTTCATAGCCCTTTGAAAGTGCATTGATTTGGACTTCAACATGTTGGTTGCAATTGAAGTCCACCATTGTGTGGAGAAAAATCCTGAAATGTTTTCCTCAAAAAACTTAATTTATTTTCCACTGAAGAAAGAAAGACATGAACATCTTGGATGGCATTGGGGTGAGTAAATTTTTAATGATTATTTCTCCAAGCTATAACATTCCTGTAAATGAATGGATTGGATGACAGATTCACGTGTTACTGTAAAAAAAAAAGTTCATGAAGGTCAAACACAACCCTTCAAAATCTAGGTTAACCTCCACAAGACTGGTTAAGAATGTTTTGAAGGCATTTCTGAAGTGACATTGAACTGCTGTTTTAGGTCAAATTCCAACGTTGACCTTGTTTCAGGAACCATATCTGATCAGCCTTGTCAAATGTGAGTCATGATTTATCTGGCTCCTCCTTATCTGCCTCCTCAGATTCCACCTTGCAGGAGTGGAAGACACTCTTAAACAGTGCCTAAAACATCTCCCAAACTTTCCCCAAGTGATCTACTGCTACTTGAGGAAGTGACCTGAATAAATATTTCATGTTGGCCATTCTGGTAATATTGTGGGAATTCTGCTAATGAACAATAAAGTTTTCTTTTGTTTCTTCCTCTTAAGACTCTTGAAGAACGGGTGGAAGAAATCCGTATAAGACCCATATCGTCTCACCTCAAGCGCATCCCAGTCACAGAAGGCTATGTGGAACTGAAAGAACGGGGGAAATGGAGGCAGATCTGCGATGAGGAGTGGACCCCCTTTAACAGCCGAGTCGTCTGTGGAATGTACGGATTCCCCGGAGAGAAGAGCTACAACAACAAAGTCTACAAGTAAGGAAAAGTCCCCACTGTTTTTGCTTTGTGTGAAAACTGGGCATGAGACAGACATGAATTAGAGGACATAATGAGAATCTCCCTGTGAAAAAAGATAAAAAAAGATTATTATGATACAATGAAAAATGAAGAAAAAACAGACAAGAAAGAAGGCAAACACACTATGTCAAAAACATTGCATGGAGAATTTAAGGTTTCCCCTAAAGTAACATTAACTTTGTAAAGTTTAAAGTTACCATGCAAACATGCGGCAAGAGTTATTTCGTCCTCGGATGTGTGTGAACGCCTCCGAAGTGAATTATAGCCAGATTGTTTCCCAACATAATTCTTGGCCGTTTCCCATCTAGCAGAGAACATTGTGTTTCCTCTGTAACTCTGTGAAGAACATTTAACTGTAAAACTCCCTAAATTATTATAGTTTTGGTGTGTTCTAACCACATCGGTACACTAAAATACACTATTACATAAAAGTTTATAGCCAAAAATGGAGCATTCCAGGAAATAAGTGTTATGAAAATGTTTTATTTTTCTTAGATGTTTTCATGGCTTTATTGCTAAACTAAGCCATATACTAAAGAAAGTAATGCCTGGTAGTATTTAAAGGTGAGGTATGTATATGTTTTTTTGTTTTGGAATATTTCATAAAGGAGCAGTGTTTAAGCCACTGGCAATGTGACCTCACTTTTTCTCAGTGGCAGTCCATGTGTTTTAAGTCTAGGCCTATAATGTTATTCATGCCATTGAGAAGTCTATTTAGCAATGAATAGCACACCCTATGGACATCATGAATTGCATTGCATTGCCTTACATCACAGTCAACATATAGAACCAAAAAGAATATTGACACAATTTCTCACAAATTAAGCCCTCTTGTGTTGAACCCAGAACATGTTGTACTCATTAAATTAATATTTAATGGTTTCCTAATCTGGAGGAAAGGAAACCTGCAGGCTTCACAGCTTGTTTGAGTCTTGATTGTCTGATTTAGGATTTTCTCTGGACTGAAGAAGCATGGGAAATTTTCTAATGGGTACCGTTAGCACAACGTTATTGCTACAGGCAATGTCTGATCACTATAATAATCATAACAGATGTTCCTCTGAATCATTGTTGTGATATCCTCCTAAACAAGAAGGAATCACTGAAATATGTACAATACTCCATAATTTAATGATTATTTTATAGCACCAGTGAGGTTTCTCTGTGGCTCTGTTTTACAGATCACTGTCCATGCGTAAAAGAAAGAACTACTGGGGTTTCTCAGTGAACTGCACAGGAAATGAAGCCCACCTGTCCAGCTGTAAACTGGGCAAACCCCTGGTGTCCAAGAGGAACGGCACTTGTGGACGTGGCCTGCCTGTGGTGGTCAGCTGTGTGCCTGGAAGGGCTTTTGCTCCCTCATCCTCCACTGGTTTCCGCAAGGCCTACAGACCAGAGGTTGGTAGTGTCAAATTTGCATTAACAGCCTTATGATTTGAGAGGTTGTAGCTTTTAGCACGGCTTTGCGCCAAAATAAGAAGTGACACTGGAAATCTACAGAATCTAATGTGCATAAACTACTATGGAAACACATTTACCGAATAAATTCCTCAATGCGCATCAAAAAAGTAATGTGACTGCACGATTGGACATCATACCTGGACAAGACCGATCTCGTTGCACAGCATCTGAAATGCTGTTTTGGTCATTCTGAAATGCCTTAGCAAAGTCTATCGTCAAAGTGGTTCGGTATAATTACTAGGGGTGTCACGATTCTCCAAATCCTCGATTCGATTACATTTTCGATTCTAAGGTCACGGTTCGATTCGATTCTCGATTTTTACAATTATTTTTTTAAAGCCGAAACCGGCCAATCAGGATGCTCTCTGTCTTACATGCGCTTCATGAGGCACATACGCTCTCGCTCTCTCCCTCTCTGCCGTGCGCGCGCTATACGGTTCGGAGAACAGTCTTTTCTGTCTCGCATGCGCGCTCTTGCTCACTCACTCTAGATTCCGGAAGATTTTAACTAATTTGCGGGCATCAGAGCCGCTATCAATATGCGGGAGACTCCGGACATGACATGGGGGCGTGGCAGCATCGACGATTCCATTTTTTAATTCGAAGTTCGAGATTGTGAATTAATTTGACACCCTTAATAATTACATCCCATAACTGTCTTACACGACTTCGTTCCCAAACAGCAGGCATCCACCACTGAAAGCAATGGATGGAAACGGTGCTTTATTCACGAATGCTTTATGCGATATTCCAATTAAGCGCATAAGTTAAATTCATCACAACTTTAGATGGATACATAGCTATTGGCATGCACAACATTCAGAGCATGAAGTTAACATTAGCTGCCTCATGATTGTGGTGGTAGCTATAGCTATAGCGCTGTTTAGCAGCAAAGTAAGGAGGAACGCTGGAATAAAAATAGGTTTCCTAAGAATCACACAGTCATCCGCAATGACATCATGAAGGAAAATTATCTTTGGACTGTCTTCCATCAGCTGTTTCCCGGTAGCATTGTGTTCACAGACTTTTTGTTTGTACTTTTGCGCGCATGAACATTGTATTAATTTTCCATTTTTTCCTTCTGTCTGTCTGTAGATGGTTGTATGTTGAACTCTAGGGTTACACTCCCTCAGAGATGATTTGTCGTTGTGGAATGTTTGGCGAGTCTGTTTTTTCTCATCTATCGGCCTCTTGCTCACATTTCTGGAAAGAATCGCTTCCTCTTCCAATATTGTATTGTGGATTATCATTTTCATTCAGCCTGGATGTCATAGAGACATTTGAAAAGTCAGGTAGTACATTAAATCACGTTTCCTTTTGAATGAAAAGGAAATTACATAACATTCAAGCACGGCACCAGAGAGCTGAAGTGAGTGTGTTTATACTGGGGATGGGAAAATATTCAGGCTGAATCACCTGCATCAGATCTGTAGACGGAGAAAGCTAGACTGAACAAACACTGGTCACTGAGCTTTTGTGGATTTACTCCCTCCCTGTCTGATTTCCCAGCAACCCCTGGTTCGTCTGCGGGGAGGTGCGAATATCGGTGAAGGGCGAGTGGAGGTGCTGAAGAATGGTATTTGGGGAACGGTCTGTGACGATAACTGGAACCTGAGGGCCGCTACCATCGTGTGTCGAGAGCTGGGCTTCGGGAGCGCCAAGGAGGCTCTCACTGGAGCAAAGTTAGGGCAAGGTTAGTATGTCTTCCCTTGCATAATACATTATATCAGTGGTTCTAAAATGGTGGATCACAGGCAGGATTGGGAGTCGATCCTAAAACAACCAGATTTTAGATTCCGAAGCATTTCGAATCAAGAGTCTACTCCATTACCTTGATTTCCAAACTACTACATGTCCCAAGAGAGGCTTAAGAACTAGTAGAGGGAATTTTTATTCATTCCATTGTCTCGATTGATCCAGTTTACCAATATGACTCAGATTCGTTCACTGATTCATTTGGTGATTTTTTTTTTTTTTTTTTTTACACCATTACGCTAATAGGTGGTGATGAGTGAGTATCTTTTTGAGTATTATGAGTGATACTTTCAATCATTCACTTAACAGATTCATTCAAAACCTGATTCGTTCAAATTTAAAATACAGAATGTATTCTTGGAATCTGCAATCTGCAAAAATTCGGAAAATCCAAATATAAATATAATGCTTATATAATATAATGCATGCATAGCTTATATTTCACAACAGGCTCTCAGAAATCTCTAATATCTACATTTTGGAAACAAAACAATGATGTAAACCCATTAAGCAGGAAGCAAATATCAGTCAAACACACATTGTTATTTTTCAAAACAACAGCATCTACGGCAGCCTCTGTCTCTGGCATTTAACGGAAATTCAATGATCACCGCCCTTTACTAAAGTGTCTTTGATCAGACACATGAGAGGCATATGTGAACATTCTTTGGCCAGGAGACTCATGCATAATGTAACATCTGTTCTCCAACTGCATGTGCAGATGTTTGTACAGGTCCTTAGTTGATTACTCCTTAATTTCTTAATTACTGGTCCTTACTTTGCTGAGAGATAATGTGAAATATTTACATGCGAGCTTGTACACTTTTATTTTATTCCTATGCATATGCAAACACTGTAATTAAAGGGTTAGTTCACCCAAAAATTAAAATTCTGTCATTAATTACTCACTCTCATGTTGTTCTAAACCCGTAAGACCTTCATTCGTCTTCGGAACCCAAATGAAGATATTTTTGATGAAATCCGAGAGCTTTCTGACCCCCACTCTTCGAGATGAGAACAATGTATTATTCTTTGTCAAAGAGGGTTGTTTTATGATTTGAGTAATGCAGCCTACAGATTTTCAATCTTCGAATTTACTTTAGCCTTCAACTTTGAGAACTACTTTAAAAAGGTTCCCAAGCTGTTTGGATTTACGTTAAAATACTTCCCGATCAAAAGTATTTGTGTGGTATTTTAAGGCTGCATTTAGTCATGTTTTCAAAAATTGACAGTGAAGTCAACAACTCTTTGCTTATTCTAGTATAAACAAATACAAACCTTCTGCAGTTCTCCCAAAACATCCTCTTAAAATCCATTTATGCACAGTTATTACTGTCATCAGATGTGGTCAGCAGAGAACATCAGATAAACAAAATTGTTTGCTTCATCTAATGGAGAAAAAAAACATGTTTTCATGTGACTCCAATGAGTGGCATTTGGTTGATACTTTTCAAGCCCCGAAAGGTGCTTATGAGCAAGTCAATTCACACTAGGTTACTTCAAGAATTGATTTGCATGAGTGCTATAAATTTGTGTATTAAATGTGCAATATATGTGTATCTGCTTGGTTCTGATTGGTCAGTAATTGCATCATTTAGTGGTCAAGTCTCAAGTCTAAGATGACTACAAAAAAACAAAAAAAACAATGCTAAATAAAATAATAAAATATGCTTTTTGTTATGTGGGTTGTTATGGACTTTTTAAAACTTTATCACATTTTCCTTTTGACATATCATACTATAAAAAATATCCTGTAGGTTTCAGAACTCAAATTCCCTTGTTAGTTCAAAAACAGCTTTTATTGTAACCAAGCCCAGAGAACGACTCCTTGTGGAATGTGCCTATAGATAGGTGAAAGACAAAAATCATTGCATCTTTGGCCCCGCCTACTGGCGTGTTAGTGAGATGACGAGGAGAGAACAAAGGCTATGTTCACACTGCAGGCTGAAACGACCCAATTCCGATTTTTTTGCCCCAATGCGACCTGTATCTGATCTTTTCATGACAGTCTGAACGACACAGATCCAATCTTTTCAAATGCGACCCAGGCCACTTGGGTATGTGGTCCAAATCCGATATGTATCCGATCTTTTGAAATGCGACTTCAATCTGAACGGCCAGGTCACATGTATCCGACCCGCACGTCATTGATATGCGACAAACGTCATAATTCTGCGTTGAAGTAGGCGGGAATTGACCGTTGAGTACTCTTCTGCGCATGCGGGTCACTTCTGGGTCATTTCACGTTCACATAGGAGATCACAAAAGGTCGCATTTAATTGGAAATGTGAACGGCCTTGCAAAAAAATCAAATTTTAAAAAAAAATCGGAATTGAGCATTAAGCCCCTGCAGTGTGAACGCAGCCAATGATACAGGATCACTGAACTAAAAATAACTATAGTTTAAGATCCTAATGCTAGGAATGTGGTTATGTTTTATTTTATTTGCTTTGCAAACAGACTTTTACGAAATGGACTCAACAGTAATCCGACAACATGTCAGTCACTGGATTAATTCTAATGCCTGATCTGTGACCAGTGATTTCTGATATGTAATGATTCATGTACAGTCAGATGTTCTTTGTCCATGTGGCAGTAAATCAAACCAGTAACTAAACGGTCAACTTCTCATTGATGCTCTTAGTAGAATGAAAATAATCTGTCATTTAAACTGTGATTAAATGATATATAGAAAGCGATCAAACAACGCTCCCTTTACAATTGATGGAGCTGTCAATCAAACAGCACAAGTTTATGGAGTTCTGGACTCTTGCCACCGTTATAATCAACGAATCTCTTATTTACATCGTGTTTGCACTTTCTCACAGCAGACACGCCCCTTCAAACAGAGCGTTCGAATCAGAGGGCTAAAATCAGGGTTGGAAAAATGCCTTTTATTTCTAAATTTTGACCATTTTTGAGGTAAAAAAAATCATACTAACATTCTAAGTGCACCCCAGGAAACATTATAAAACAATGCAGATCATGTCCCCTTGAGATAATCCACAGATAAGACAATAAAATGATTTAAACTCAAATTTCCTGTCCATTAACACCCTATTTCATGTTTTCCTTAGGAATGGGTCCGGTCCACATGAACGAGGTGGAGTGCTCTGGATTTGAGAAATCTCTCACTGACTGCTACTTCAATAATGATGCGCTGGGCTGCAGTCATGAGGAAGACGCTGCTGTACGCTGCAATATACCTGCCATGGGTTTCCAGAAGAGGGTGAGGACTCTTAAACGTTTACTTCATATTCCGTTAATGTTCTAGCAATACTTCGAAATTCATGGATCAGTAAGATTTTCAAGTGATGGATACTTTTGACTACAGATACGTCTAAGCGGAGGAAGAAACCCCCTCGAGGGACGTGTGGAAGTTCTCGCTGAGAAGAACGGTTCTCTGGTTTGGGGAACCGTTTGTAGTGAAAACTGGGGGATTATAGAGGCCATGGTGGTCTGCAGACAGCTGGGATTAGGCTTCGCCAACCATGCGTTTCAGGTAAATCTCCATCACTCTCAAACCAAGCAGCTTTCTGTTGGTCAACACTTCAAATCTGTCTGACAAACTTGAATCCATTAAATCCGTACACAAAATTCATGTTCACATGGAGTACTATTAAATTGTCCAGATTTCACCCATGCCATGAGAATTCATTGAACAATGGTAGATGAGACCACAACTTGATTTCCACACTCCAACCTTCTCACTACCTTCAATAGTGTTTAACCATCAATATCCCCAAGGCATCATTTGAGTCATCATGATAGAGTTCATAGCATATGGGACTATTTTGGAGTGTTCAGTGTAGATGAAGAACTTTAATAAAGGCACACACCATGGTACGGAGCCAGTGTGGCGTCCCCATTTCATCCACCAAAAGTTTGCTGGATGCCATAATCTAATTAAATCCCATTCATTTAAATCATAATTGAATGTGCATGTAAGATCACACAGACTTTCAAGAGCTGAAATGGCAGGACTGGAGACAGATCATTACCAGCCCAGTGACAAACTCATGGTGATATAGGTCTGGAAACTATTATTGCATTAGAAACGGTATGGAAGGAATAGCTTGATCGGCGGTTTTATGAGTGGAAATTGGAAAACGCTTCTGCAGGCTAATGCCATGATTAAGTTTTATTATGATGATTGACTGAAATTTGCCACTAGCTGATGCATATGGCCGCATGTCAAGACATTATGGCCGTAATGGCTTCGACCTAGGGACACAAAGCAGTTAAATCTGTCACTCATTAGAGTTCTTAGAGCGTTTACAAGAGTTTATGCTTGTGTGGTGTTGATTTAACTGTTGCCCTGCTTAAGAATAAACACCTTAAACCAGCTTCAACATTTGCTGGTCTTATTTAGTCTCCCAGCCCAGTCCGACAGTCTATTTGCTGGTTTTAAAGGGTTTTTAGGCCCATTTCAACTGGTCAGGCTAGGAGAACCCATCTAAACTAGCTAAGACCAGCTTAAACCAGCTTAGGCAGGTTGAATTTTTTTCTTTTGTAGCTAAATGTAGCAGGTGAAGTTAGTCAACTATCATCATCTTTCTTGTTTAGTGGTTGACCAAGAAAACTAGTCAAACTGACGTCGTCCAGTGAGGGCTTTTTCTCCTAATGAACTTTAGTCATTTTAAATAAAATGAAGTCCATACTGTTCCACCCATATACTCCCATTCAAAATTTTGGGCTCGGTAAGTTTATACTTTTATTCAGAAAGAACACATAACTGATCAAATGCGACACTGAAGACATACAGTACTTTCAAATAAATTCTGTTCTTTTGAACTTTCGGTTTATTAAAGAATCCTGAAAAAAAAAGTATGACAGTTTCCAAAAAATATTAAACAGCACAACCATTTTCAGCATTTATAATAAGAAGAAATGTTTATTGAGCATCAAATCAGCACATTATAATGCTTTCTGAAGGATCATGTGACACTAAAGACTGGAGTAATGATGCTGAAAATGCAGCTTTGACATCACAGGAAGAAATTACATTTTAAAATATATTAAAATAAAAAAATATTATTTTTTTAAATTGTAATAATATTTCACAATATTGCTGTTTTACTGTATTTTTGATCAAATGAATGCAGCTTTGGTGAGCATAAGAGATTTAAAAGCATAAAAAAAACATTAACATTAAATTATGCATTAACTTAATAGTGAGGTTTGTACACTTTGGCATGCTGTTGGTCACGTTTTCAGACTGTTACCAAAGCTCAAAAAGTGCAAGATACAACTTCCAGATGTCTGAGTGGCCATTAAACATGATTTGTCTGACAGTCTGGAGCGGTGGGTCTTTCCAGACAGCATGTGTGGAAGGTTTTCGACAATGCACATGGAAAGTCTGACAGAATGTGCCCACTTTCCCCCCTGCCCACGCTGGGAGTCCTGAAGGCTTATCTATCAGAGGAGGCTGTGACTCAGCCCTGGTCAGCCTAGGACACAGCACATGGAAAACAGAACATAACACTGTTTGATTAGTCATCACGAACATATGTTTTTGCAGTCATGAACACTGACAAAGACTTCCCCGATCTTGTGGGGTACGGGACGTCTTGTGTTTCAAACCTCTAAACTTATGCAACAGCTCTAATCTTGAGAGCAGATGCTCAGGAACATGCAGTCGATCTGTAAAACGTGACTGAACAGCCCTCGTTTGGTGAGAAGGTGTAATGACACCCAGATATCCATCTCCAATATTCAGTTTTAAAACACACTAACGTTTCTTTCCGATGTCATTGAAAAACAAAACACCTTAGAGGTATTCTATGTGTTACATTCCAGTTTGTGTGAAGAACAGACTGAAAGTGAAGTTGACAATCTGCCTGAATCAATGACCGAATCAATCGTTTGTCAGTTCTTTTCGGTAAACTGATTGATTTGCCTCGCAAACCGAACTGATTCTTTTACAAATTGCTTTCTTCCCTATTGTGACGTATATCCAAGTGAAATGACTTCTCGAACAAGAACAAATGTAGAGCAGGACTTGATTTTGTCCACGTGGAATTGATTGGATGGTCGGATGGTTGTGGTTTGCTATTGGTCAATCTCATGTGAGTGACAGGTTGATCCCGCCCTTGCACCAGTAAACACATCATCAGAGAAGAGAAGAGATGCCATTGCAATAGTGAGGGGAAGTTATTGTTTGAAGATTATGAGGACACGTTTTATGTTATTTTATTTTATGTGATTTCATTGTGACTTTAAAATGAGAATGTTGTGACTTAAATTTCAGCTATAATTCCTATGATAATCTTACCGACTAATATTTATCACGTGTTTGTATAGGAGACGTGGTACTGGGCTGGAGATGCAAATACAGACAGTGTTGTGATGAGTGGGGTCAGATGCTCAGGAACTGAGATGAGTCTTCCTCAGTGCCTTCATCACGGCAAACACATCAACTGCCCGAAAGGAGGAGGACGCTTCGCCGCTGGGGTGTCCTGCTCTGATAGTGAGACAATCACCTCTTATTAATTATCATTCTCTTAAGAATAGTGATTTAACTTCGCCTGTGTCGAGCTTGATGTAATGGTAGACTAAAAAGCAGCTCCAAAAATAATTGTTGTTTCCCTCAATGCAATGCACTCCACTTAACCTTTCCTTTCCACTGTGACAATTAACATTCAGTAATAAATTATTTGAAAAATGAATGTTTAACTTTTCCCCTGCCACAGTTGCCAAATTTTGTTTTATGAATATCTGAACATATATCAAAAGAAAGAACAGTCTCTGATTTTATCTCTGATTTTACCCCCCCCCCCCCCCCCCCCCCCCACCACAAAAAAGACTGCTGCGTCTCAATTCGCCTACTAATACTACGCCTTAAAAGTATGTACTCTTTTTGTGAAGAAAAAGTGCATACTTCTGAGTGTGTAGCAGAAGAGTAGACAAGCTTTGGGACATATATCACGTCATATGTCTTTTACAGTTTCTCTCTGTCCCTTAGTTACCCGCATCCTGTCACGCAAATGATGTTTAGTTCCTCCTCCAAAGCACAATGGGTTGTTGTGGGCACTATTAGCCTACTATTAGAGTGTGCACAGATCCACACTTCGAAAATTCACCGGAAGTAGTAGACCCTCCGGGGACTTCTGGCGTACTCTTGTCAACATACTATGCTTTGGGACACACTTATTTTAATCTCACATACTGTTTAGGATGGATAGTATGGACATACGCATGGCTACAATGTGCATAAGCAATGCTTTTATCGCTTGTTTCTGCCTCTCCTCCTGTGTTTTGATCTGGAGATTATGCACTCTTTCAGTAGATGTGTAATAGCGCCCCCTACCGTATAACAGTGAAAACACAGAAAGCCAGAAAGTTTCGTCAAATTCCCCGTGGCGGGGAAGTGTTGTTCTCATAAATGACAGAAAATTGCGTCAATGGTGGCATTTTTTAAAAATGAAAATTTGCTTTCATTTGTTCAAAATTTTGGGGTTGGTAAGATTTTTTTAAAAAGAAATTAATACTTTTATTCATCAAAGATGCATTAAATTGATCAAAAGTGACAGTAACATTTATGATGTCACAAAATATTTTTATTTCCAATAAATACTGTTCTTCTGAACTTTCTAGTATTTTAAGAATAATCAAATAAATGCAGTCTTGGTGAGCATAAAAGACTTTCAAAAACATTAAAAAAATCTTACCGACCACAGACTTTTGAACAGTAGTGTACTAATAATATAAAATAGTGTGCTACTGTGCCATATGTAGTAGTATGCTAGTGTTCCATTCTGAACATGACTAAACAGCTTTAATATGACACCTAAACAACTTATATTTTGTGAAACTAAACATAAGATGGTAGATCTTCAGGACCAACTAAGCCCACTGACCTGGTTGTCTAGACTGATATGCATGTGGAATTTGCTCTGTCTGACCTCTGATCTCATCGCTCACAGCGGCTCCTGACCTGGTTCTAAATGCTCAGCTGGTGGAGCAGACCACCTATCTGGAGGACCGGCCCATGTACGCTCTAGAGTGCGCCCTAGAGGAGAACTGCCTGTCCAGCACAGCGAAAAAGAACGACCACAGCTCCTACCGCCGCCTGCTCCGCTTCTCCTCCCAGATCCACAACGTCGGCCAAGCTGACTTCAGACCCAAAATGGGTTACCATTCCTGGACCTGGCATGAGTGTCACAGGCAAGACCATAAACACCTTAGTAAACGACAAAGACGTCAACACATGATGCCAGTATGGCGACGTTTAAAGGGGTGGTAAAATGCCCTTTTCACAAGATGTAAAATAAATCTCTGATGTCCCCAGAGTGTGTGTGTGAAGTTTTAGCACAAAATACCCCACAGATATTTTTATATAGCATGTTAAAATTACTTTTTGAGGGTTAGCAAAAACGCACCGTTTTGTGTCTGGCCCTTTAAATGCAAATGAGCTGCTGCAGAGGGCGGGGTTTCAAGAGCTCGTGTGTGTTAGCAGATGCGATTACCAAAATGACAGAAACTGTTCTGCCTTTAATGTTAAAACGGAGTCAGACAAAGACGGAGAGACTCGAGAAGAAGTGACAACACGTAGAATGCAACGGGAAGTCTCTGAATGGTTAGTTGATGAATTTATGCTGCTGATGTGAAGTTAACTATCTTCAATTAGCATATTCTGTCATGATCATCTATAAATCGCTCATATAGGAATTGTTGTGAGTTGCACACAGAGTGACTTTCTATTGCATGTGAAAAGAAGGATGCTAAAGTTTGAGCTGACTCACAAATGTACTCTTATACAACAACTTTTCCTCTTCTCAACATGGACTGCGTGTTCCCGGGGGCGGGGTTTATGTACATTTTAGGGTTGGTGATGTCACTAACCCGGGAGGAATGTTGTGTAGTTCCTGCCAGCCGTTTGTTGTAGTCCTTTTCTTTAAAAGCAAATATCTTCCTTTTGCTTTGAACTTGAAGCATTGTAACTTTGCAGATGTTGTTTATGCTCAAACACCAACATATTTTACACTAGCTAAAATTAGAAAAGTGAAATCATGTTTTACCACCCCTTTAAAACTTCTAATCATTGTTTTGTTGTGTCTCTGTGTTCAGGCATTATCACAGCATGGAGGTTTTTACACATTATGACCTGCTGAGTCTGAACGGCACCAAGGTTGCGGAGGGTCACAAGGCCAGTTTCTGTCTAGAGGACACTCAATGTGACGAAGGTGAGAACTTCTTACGAGATGGTCCAATAGTATGGCAAGCCGTTTTAGCTTAAATTGTACCCAGCCTTACTCGTCATAATTACATTTTTACTAGTAAGAATTCAGTTAGATAGCTCTGCAATTCAATTATTATTAGTAACAATTACAATTAGAGAGCTCTCTAATTCAATTCTTACTAGTAACAATTCCAGTTAGAGAGCTCTACAAATGAATTTTTACTAGTCATATGTCTCCATTGACTTCCATTCATTTTTAATTACAGAGCTCTCTAATTGAATTGTTACTAGTAAAAAACAAATTAAAGATATGTATAGTTGCAGAGCTCTGTAATTGAATTAAAGAGCTCTGCAATTGCATTCTTACTAGTAACAATTGAAATAGAGAGCTCTCTAATTGAATTAATGAGCTCTCTAATGCAATTGAGTTGTTACTAGTAAGAATTGAATTAGAGAGCTCTCTAAATGAATTGTTACTAGTAAGAATGCAATTGCAGAGCTCTTTAATTCAATTTGAGAGCTCTCTAATTGTAATTATTACTAGTAAGAATTGAATTAGAGAGCTCTCTAATTGTAATTGCTACTAGTAATAATTGAATTGTAGAGCTCTCTAATTGAATTTTTCCTAGTAAAAATGAAATTACGATGAGTAAGGCTGGGTACAATTTAAGCTAAAATGGCTTGCCATACAATAGTGCTAAAGTTACTCAACACTAGTACAAAGGTGCGTTCACACCATGTCGTGATTACGGTAATTACGAGATTCTGACTTTTAAAAAGCGTTCACGTCCTCGTAGAACTCGTTATTACAACTTGTAAACTCGACCGCTGCAGATTGATAGTGTTGTAATAGAAAAACTTTATTCTGAGTCCGAGGATGTGAACTGCTCTGAGTAGAATCCCAGACAGCAACATAGTGTCGTCGGCCCAGATCCGGCCCACATCTGGTACACTTGGATTCCACATGGTCCAGATGTGGGCCGATGAAACGAGTTCTATTCAGCCATAAACAGCTCTACAGAAGACGATAGTGTCGTTATTCAGCTCGAAGATCTAATTGGTTGTTTTCTTTGATCCAGGTATTCAGAAACGGTATCTTTGTGCCAACTTTGGTGAACAGGGCATCACCGTTGGCTGCTGGGACACTTACAGACATGACATTGATTGTCAGTGGATCGATATCACAGATGTGAAACCAGGAGACTATATTTTCCAGGTACTGGTTTAACTGAAGTGAACTAAAAATAAGGATTTTCTTTTTTACTAACATGACTCTGTCACACAGGTCGTAATCAATCCTAACTATGATGTAGCCGAGTCGGATTATACCAACAATGTCATGAAGTGCAAGTGCCGCTATGATGGATACAGGATATGGACGTACAACTGTCATATAGGTGAGTTGGTTAGAAAAATACTGTATCGAAAGTCTGCCAGGACAGTTGAACTATTTCCCTGCCATTGACGGAAATTTCCGTCATTTGTGAGACAACGCTTCCCCGCCATTGACGGAATTTTTCCCGGTTTCCGTGTTTTCACTGTTATACAGTAGGGGGCGGTATTACAGATCTTCTGAAAGGGTACAGAATCTCCTGATCAAAACACATGCGAAGAAGAGGCATAAACAAGTTATATCATATGTAATCATATGCATATGTAGAATAATGCGATCACCAACCTTAAACAGCATATAAATCAAAACGGCCTAATGTTACTGAATGAAATGTCAACCCAGGACGATCTACAGGACTGTAAAGGTTTGGGGGTGTTGATGGACTCGATCTACTCCATCAATGTTTAGATCATCGTTCTGAATCCCATCCAGACATACTTTGACAAAAACTTGATTTTCTCAGTTTTATCTCTTATTATCTCTTATATAAGTCTCTTATTGGCCTGTTTAGCCAAGCCCTCCATAAAACAACCCATCCAAATGAATACATATTATACAGAATATTCCTCTTTAATAGTATTAGATTATTTGTTAATTCCATTTAATACTTTCAGTAAAACTTTTGCATTTGGTTTGTAAAAGTGTTTTTATGCATGGTTTTGGTGCATTGACTCTCGAAAAAGTGAATACTTTTGCGAAGCAATTGGTTTAATTGATTCAAAGTTTCGAAAAGGTTTATTTCTCCAATCAGTAGTTAGAAGTAAATAATAATACCACCTCTACCACTTTCCAGGTGGCTCGCGGAGTTCAGACATGGACGAATACCCTGGAATGAGCAACCAGTTGCACCTCAGATAGGAGACAGTGAGGAACGACAAAGGCTCTCAGTGGAGGATGCTGCAGGCTGTCACTCAAGACTATTGAAATATGACTGACCACTATAGAGACTCCAGCACTTCAATAGGCAGAGACCGCTGCTCTGTAACCCTCTACGCAGTCGCTAGGTTGAAGTACAGCTCATGTCCTTTCACGGCCCTCCCTATAATATCAAGCTTGCTTTGTACAGAAACTATTTAAATTCTTTAAACGTACTGTACTTGTTGCATTTCTGTGTTTAAAATGCTAGTTAATTGTTGTAGTGCTTTAATGTTCAAAATTGGAGCTTCCATAACGTTTCGATTCTTTTTGTATTACAACTTAAGGTATCGCAAAGCCTGCAGTTTCATGAACCAAACGCCACTTGCGACTCTTTTGTGGTTAATTCATCAAGCATGTCAAGTAATTTATTGTGTTCAGTCAGGGATTATCTTTTGTCAACTTTTGTGTATGCAATGTGAAACTGTAAGAATTTGTTGCAAATTTGTGAAGCATCTACCCTCCGTTTTACGAGGGTACCTATGACCAGTTCAATGGTTTCCAAATATATACTGTGTTTATGACTGAACAACACATTTGGTCAAACCATTGCATTGTTTTCTATTATTAAAACAATTCATGTTTGTTACTTGGAGGATGGTGAGTTTTTTATGTTAACCTGACAACCCATGTATTTTCAGAGCTAAAATGTGTGGAAACAATTAAAGACTTGACACCAATCAAAAACCACAACAAACATTTAATCAATATGTAAAAAACAGTTTGAAGTATCAAACAATTTTAAAACATCATAGTGCAGAAATAATTTTCAACTTGTTAGTATGGAGAAACAGAGCAAAAGAAAGCAAACAAGGCCGTTTCCTGCTAAAAAGGGGGGGTATTTGGGGGAAAAACACTCAGGAAAATAATCAAATGATCATTGACCTATTTCTCTAAAATAGTAGAGAACTAAAAAAATAATAATAATAAACAAAACTGGAAACTTGGGAGACAACATATTTCATGTGTTTTAGATTTTCATCTTCGTGGGCTGCTAAGATAAAGCTTCACTCCTTTTCCTCCTCCTTTCTGGATGATGTCTAGAACATTAGTCATTTGAATGAATAAAAACAAGACAGGAACTGGGGTAGATTTCTTCAGTTGGGGTCATTTCTTCAAGCCACTGCTCAACCCCAGCGCTCTGGTCACCATCCTGCGAGCCACCTCTGTGTCCGTGCGGGGCCTTTCCTTCACCGGCTGAATGAACTCTAAGGGGACACAACATCATCACACTTGATAGTAATATACTCATGCTCATTATGCGGATCAGTGTCATGATGTTTGTATCTATTCATTTAAAAATACATACACGTTTAAAAGAAGCACAAGCGACATCTTTTATGAGGAGCTTATTATTTTATTTCCCAATTAAAATTCATAGGTTTTTTTGTACCATGAAATGTCAGTCTGATGCAACTCCTTTAAAAAAAAGCTTTTTCCCCCAAAATTGCAGTTCTTTTGAACTTTCTATTCATCAGAAAATCCTGAAAAAAAATGTATCATGGTTTTCCCAAGAATATTATGCTGTATTCAACATTGATAATAATCAGAAATGTTTATTGAGCTGCAAATCATCATATTATTAATCATCAAAATTCAGCTTTGCATCACAGGAATAGATTACATTTTAACATACTGTATATTAAAATAGAAAGAAAATGAAAACAGTAATATTTCAAACATTACTGTTGATTTGTATTTTTGATTAAATAAATACTTGGTCTTGGTGAGCATAAGAGACTTTCAAAACAATTTAACAAATCATACCGACCCCAAACTTTAGAACAATTTTCTGTTTCACCACTTACAATTTAAATTTCTTGAAAAAGGTACAAAGGTTTTTTGTTTTGTTTTCTTGCTCACGGACACACTAATGTCTCCTAATATAAAAATCGCCATATTTCTGAGAGCCGTTTATTCATACCTGCTCGTCTGGCTGCTTTCCACTTCGCTTTTTGACTCCCCTCTTGTAGCACGCGGGTTTTCAGTATCGGATGCTTAAGAGAGAGTGCCTGTGTGGCTGAAAACAACCAGAAATGTGTCACTCAAACAGAACAATATAAAAGAGGATAATTCTTGACACATGAATGGAAAAAAATACTGCCGAATGAAACAATACCTGCGGACTGACTTGAAAATATACCGAGAGCATGAGTGTTATCCACCCACTTGATCTTCATCCCTCCTTCACTGGAAACAGAAGTAGACCAGTGTCACATTTATGGATTTGTATTATTATTATTTCTCTCACATTATAAGGGTGACATATCACCTATAATCAGCAAAGGCATCAAGAAGGTCGTCTGTTTTAAACAAGGCAGGGAAGTTGTAGATCTCAATGACGTGGCCGAACTCCTCAGGGTCAAGCCAGATGTTTGCATAGGCGGGGAAATCATTGCAGGTGTTCAGTACGGTGATGTCCTCGCATTTGAGTTTGGCTTTGATCTGACCAACACAGAACGAATGACAAAATGTGGGAAAACAAACAGAATAAAGATGACGGTAATTACGGTAAGAGATGCATTGGGTCTTTATGCAAATAACAAACCTCAAAGGGCCCGTTTACACCTGGTCACGTCATGTGTTGTTACTGATCGGATAGTTATCTGATTTGTTAAAACGGTTCCATTTACACTTCCACATAAATGGGTCTCCGCAAAACGAATATAAATCCAATCTTCAATTCCCGCGCTAAATGCAAATTTAACAGAGTTCACGTCAATGTAAGAAACAGATATGAGCTGGATTTCAGACCGCAATAGGAGAGAAAGCTGCATCATATCTGTTCGCAATGCGTGTTGCAGTAGCGCTGTCATATCTGGCTAACCGGAGCACTATAATAACACTCTCACATGATTTTATATATACATTTCATATACAACTATTTTGGGAAAAGTAATGTTTACATATAGTACCGGTCAAAAGTTTGGAACCATTCCTATTTTTAATGGTTTTGAAATAAGTATTTTATGCTCATTAAGCCAGAATATTTATTTGATAAAAAATACGGGAAAGAAAACAGTAATATTGTGAAATACTATTACAATTTAAAATAATGTTTTTTTATTTTAATATACTTTAAAATATTATTTATTTCTGTGATGCAAAGCTGAATTATCATCAATGTTGGAAACAGTTGTGTTGCTTAATGTTTTTTTTTTTTATAACCTGTGATTCTTTTTTCAGGATTCCTTGATGAATTAAAGTTACAAAAAGAATTTTCTAGCAATATACACTACTGTTCAAAAGTTTGCGGTCAGTAATTATAATTTTTTTTTTTTTTTGTTTGAAAGAAATGTATACTTTTCTTCAGCAAGGATGTTAAATTGATAAAAACTGATAATAAAGATTTCTATTGTTAGAAAAGATTTCTATTTTGAACTTTTTAACTCGTTTACACTTGTCCAGTTTCATCTGGAATGCGTCTCAAGCAAGCGGCAACATTCTAATCTGAAAAATGAAGCCTACCCGGAAGTGCGAAAAACTGCAATACATCGAAAATCCGCTAGAGGGAGGTCCCAAAAGGGAGCAAATCTCCATAGACCCGCATGTTAAAATGTCCGTTTTCACAGCATAAATTTATATGTTTACATGTTGGTCCCATGGACTTTTATTGTATTTTTGGATAGGTCCCGAGTGCCTGACAACTGTGAGGGGGGTGAATTTTTTTCTAACTCGGTAGTTTAGATCGTATTTAGATATAAAATGTATGACAAATAAGCGCGTGATTGACAGCTGATAACGGGCTGCCCCGAGTGGAATTCCTGAAATTTGACGTCTTGGCCATGATCTGACACAACACATCATACCACCTCTGTATCCTTTCTGAACATTTGTATTTGAAATATCGTAAGATTTTCCAAGATGGCACCGCCCATACCCCCCATAAACAGCCTCAAAACCGTTCTTCAGAAAGTCTATGGGTGACGTATCAGACGCTTTGTCCATATTTTTTACAGTCTATGGTCTCAAGCCACCACTTCAAGTGGTTTGAGGGATATACAGTAGGGCCCGGTTTACACCTGATCGCATTAACATTAGAATGGGGCTAACAAATTCATGCAAGTACGCACATGCTGTGAATTAGGTGGACATTTTTCATGAGAATTTGTGCATTTAAATATGAATAATCCAAGCAAGTATTAGTGTACGAGACCCATTAAGTTACAATACCTCAGAGAGTAAACTTTCATCAAAGTGCTGTAGTTGGAGGGTCGCATCAGCGGGAAGGCCCGTGTTGTTGGCACAATATTCATCTGCTTGGTCATCTAATGTTAAAGATGTGAAGAAAGACACAGTCTGGTCCCAGGCTGGAGGCCACGGGGAAGGCCCGGACCTTGAAAGCTGCACAAACTTCTGATCGGCCAGTGATTGGTCAGTGCTGTCCACCACCTCTGTCTCCTGATTGGGTGCAAGAGCTTCCTTAGCAACGTCAGAGCTAGAATCCTCAGATGATTCCTCCAGATTCACCTTATGTCTCCTAGCGAGTGGAACATAAACAGCCTTTTCTGGCCGTCTGGCTCTTCTTCTGTTGCATTCGTCCTCCATTTCCCCACCCCGACCGCGTGCTCGTTCATGGAAACTGCTCTTCGTATATCTATGATCCTCTTCTGGCAATCTGTCAGATGCACCACAATGATGAGACACCAAATCTCTGTGAGCATGTCACGTGACATTAGGTCTGGCAGCTTTACCTGAGCTCGGAATAGCACACTACGACTCTGCGGGCGCAGCCCTCACCCACAGAGAAGGTGCTGAGGTCGGGGAGATTGCCAGTGGTTTGGTGAATCAGGAAGCGAAGTCGGCTCGGGATAGGCGGGAAGAGTAGAACGCTACAATTGGGAAACATTAAAAGATAAACAATATGGCAGATGTCTATTTATCTATCTATAGATAGATAAAGACAGACAGACAGATAGATAAGATAGATAGATATGCACAAAGTACTCTAATCATTACACCGATGGTAAAATGTGTAGCCCATTTGAATTACATAGAAAATTTACTAACATACAACGCTATGTAGAAAGTCAGTCATCTAAAACAGCCACACAAACTAAGACTGATGAGAAAAAAGGGAGACAACAGACACGCACCAACATAAATTAGAAGGCTTATTAAAATACTCATGACCACCCTTACAAGAATTAATAACATTTTATTTTAGTAACATGTTGTAGTTACATTTCATAGAAAGTACTAGACCTGTAGATTGTACATTGGCCTAAAACATGGTAATGAGGAGCCATTAATGGTCTTATCTGTTAATATAGTCTTAACAAATGCCACAATTACAAGAATTATTATTATTATTAATAATAATAATTAATAATAGGGCAAGCCAAGTACACATCTAGAGCTTTAAAGTATGGACCTTCATGAATTATGGACCAAGCTAGCTAGTAAATCAAGTTAGTTAATTTATGTACAAAATGAGTTCTGTTCTAAAGACGATTGATATTAAGAAAAACCTGGCTTTCTGGCATTCAAAAATACTACATAAATCATTAAGATCCTGGTCAAACGAAAACAATATCTGTGTAAGCAGATTGAAGAAAATGTTTAAGTTTAAAGTAAAAGTAAAAAAAGAAAATGCTCCAGATCATGGTTATAATATTAAATACTTAATACCCGTGTATGCTATGCAAACAAGGAATTGTGTTAATAATTGTAACGTTAGTATTCAACTTTGCAAGTGTGGGTTATAGGCAAGTTATCGCAATAATAAAATCTCACAAGGGAAAATGTCTCAGGACCCTGCTAAAACGATTAGCTGTCCTAATAATGTTGGTGAATATCCTTCCCTTCCTCAGAACAGATATGTGATGAAGTTACCTTTTCGGCTCATTTCTCTGTTGAAATACGTCCAGCTCCTCAAGGACTGTATGGATAAACGCAGTCTCTTGTTTGGGGAGGAAACAGCCACTGACGCAAGGACGAGCCAGGGTGCTGGAGGACGATCTCTATGCACAGAGACTAGGTGCTGTCAGTCCGGATTTCATTAATACACTTAAGAAAAAAGAAACATTAAAGAGCGGATCAAACATCATGTACAAGGTCGCTAGTGTTCGCTGAGTCAAACTAAAGAGATCATTAATTCACCTAACGTTATAACTGTACAAATCAAACCTAAAATGAAGGCACTTTAAACGTTATTTTATGGCTAACTTACTGGCTCACGTATACGTCAAATATAAAAAAAAACACTAAGTATATTAGGGAAAGAGAATGATATAAAACATCTGCTCGTGAATCTAACAGCGAAATTAAACCCATTTAAACATTAGCAACTAAAGTTAGCTTAGCACACTAATCTCATTCAATAACATTATACGCGTTTGAAGACGAGACTGACTAATAACAAATAAAAGTATGCCACCCTTTAAAGAGACCTTTAAACACTATTAAATCCCAGTTAAAAACGACATCCCAGGACAGCCGCAAACAGCAAGCCACAAGTAACAACACTGAATTTAACCGACACCTCTGACGTCATTAAGATTTTCGATGTGAAGGCTTTTCGTCCCCTCTAGCGGTCAGGGGTGCAAAGTGGGGTCCGGAGCTCTATAGAGTTATTTTTTAAGTTACTATGAAATCAATTCTTTTTTTAATTAAATATTGCAGTATTATTCTAAATGATTTAATAAGGTCATGCGCCCTCGTAATCTTTAAAGACAATATCTTCTCTGATGACGTTTTTACTGGCGTGAGGGGCAACCTTTCACTCACAATCACAACCATCTATCTATAAATTACAGGAACGTCCGTGTGTCTGTCTGTGTGTCTGTCGGTCTGTCAATCGAATATCTCTCCAACCGTTGTTTGGATTATAAATGCAAAAGATATCGGTAAAAGAAGCACACATTGAAGTTGTGGTTTAAAAAATAAACATTCTGACATTAGAGAGAGTTGTGGTTTAAAAATTGTGGTTTAAAAATAAACATTCTGTCAGCTAAACAAGTCAGCTACACTGTTTACTTCTGAATATTGTAGTTATTCAGAAGTAGTTAGTTGTCAGTAGTTAGTTATTGTTACATTTTCCATATTATTGTATGTCATTATGTCAGTATCAGTATTTGCTTTCAACCATGCACAAATAAAAATGTCACTGAACTTTTGCTGTGTAATTGTAACAATAAGCACTCAAACACACCAAACACACAATTACTAAAAACACACACAAAAACGGATTTTGAACGGGCATATCTGTTATTCGCATATCTCTCGAACCGTTAGTCCGATGGATTTCAAACTTGACAGGTGTCTTGCTATGGGCACGAGTAAGTGCAGTGCCAAAGAATGCAAAATATATCATTAAATATATCGGTAAAAGAAGCACACATTGGCTTTTGCCGCTCTAGCCGCTGGCCACTCCCCCTCTCACACTGCACACTGAGTGGCCACTCCCCCTCCACACTGAACACTGAGTGGCCACTCCCCCTCTCACACTGCACACTGAGTGGCCACTCCCCCTCCACACTGCACACTGAGTGGCCACTCCCTCTCTCACACTGCACACTGAGTGGCCACTCCCCCTCCACACTGGACACTGAGTGGCCACTCCCCCTCCACACTGCACACTGAGTGGCCACTGTCCCTCCACACTGAGTGGCCACTCCCCCACCACACTGCACACTGAGTGGCCACTCCCCCTCCACACTGCACACTGAGTGGCCACTCCCCTCCACACTGCACACTGAGTGGCCACTCCCCCTCCACACTGCACACTGAGTGGCCACTCCCCCTCCACACTGCACACTGAGTGGCCACTCCCCCTCCACACTGCACACTGAGTGGCCACTTCCCCTCCACACTGAGTGGCCACTGTCCCTCCACACTCCACACTGAGTGGCCACTCCCCCTCCACACTCCACACTGAGTGGCCACTGTCCCTCCACACTGCACACTGAGTGGCCACTCCCCCTCTTACACTGCACACTGAGTGGCCACTCCCCCTCCACACTGCACACTGAGTGGCCACTCCCCCTCCACACTGCACACTGAGTGGCCACTCCCCCTCCACACTGAGTGGCCACTCCCCCTCCACACTCCACAATGAGTGGCCACTGTCCCTCCACACTGAGTGGCCACTCCCCCACCACACTGCACACTGAGTGGCCTCTCCCCCTCTTACACTGCACACTGAGTGGCCACTCCCCCTCCACACTGCACACTGCTGAGTGGCCACTTCCCCTCACACACTGCACACTGAGTGGCCACTCCCCCTCCACACTGAGTGGCCACTCTCCCTCCACACTGAACACTGATTGGCCACTGTCCCTCCACACTGCACACTGAGTGGCCACTCTCCCTCACACACTGCACACTGAGTGGCCACTGTCCCTCCACACTGCACACTGAGTGGCCACTGTCCCTCCACACTGCACACTGATTGGTCACTCCCCCTCCACAATGCACACTGAGTGGCCACTCTCCCTCCACACTGCACACTGAGTGGCCACTCTCCCTCCACACTGCACACTGAGTGGCCACTCTCCCTCACACACTGCACACTGAGTGGCCACTCCCTCTCACACTGCACACTGAGTGGCCACTCCCCCTCCACACTGCACACTGAGTGGCCACTCCCCCTCCACACTGAGTGGCCACTCTCCCTCCACACTGCACACTGAGTGGCCACTCCCCCTCCACACTGCACACTGAGTGGCCACTGTCCCTCCACACTGCACACTGAGTAGCCACTGTCCCTCCACACTGCACACTGAGTGGCCACTGTCCCTCCACACTGAGTGGCCACTCCCACTCCACACTGCACACTGAGTGGCCACTCCCCCCTTACACTTTACACTGAGTGGCCACTCCCCCTCCACACTGCACACTGAGTGGCCACTTCCCCTCACACACTGCATACTGAGTGGCCACTCCCCCTCCACACTGCACACTGAGTGGCCACTCCCCCTTCACACTGCACACTGAGTGGCCACTGTCCCTCCACACTGAGTGGCCACTCCCCTTCCACACTGCACACTGAGTGGCCACTCCCCCCTTACACTTTACACTGAGTGGCCACTCCCCCTTCACACTGCACACTGAGTGGCCACTGTCCCTCCACACTGAGTGGCCACTCCCCCTCCACACTGCACACTGAGTGGCCACTCCCCCCTTACACTTTACACTGAGTGGCCACTCCCCCTCCACACTGCACACTGAGTGGCCACTTCCCCTCACACACTGCACACTGAGTGGCCACTCCCCCTCCACACTGCACACTGAGTGGCCACTCTCCCTCCACACTGCACACTGAGTGGCCACTCTCCCTCACACACTGCACACTGAGTGGCCACTGTCCCTCCACACTGCACACTGAGTGGCCACTGTCCCTCCACACTGCACACTGATTGGCCACTCCCCCTCCACACTGCACACTGAGTGGCCACTCTCCCTCCACACTGCACACTGAGTGGCCACTCTCCCTCCACACTGCACACTGAGTGGCCACTCTCCCTCACACACTGCACACTGAGTGGCCACTGTCCCTCCACACTGCACACTGAGTGGCCACTGTCCCTCCACACTGCACACTGATTGGCCACTCCCCCTCCACACTGAGTGGCCACTCTCCCTCCACACTGCACACTGAGTGGCCACTCTCCCTCCACACTGCACACTGAGTGGCCACTCCCTCTTACACTGCACACTGAGTGGCCACTCCCCCTCCACACTGCACACTGAGTGGCCACTTCCCCTCACACACTGCACACTGAGTGGCCACTCTCCCTCACACACTGCACACTAAGTGGCCACTCCCCCTCTCACACTGCACACTGAGTGGCCACTCCCCCTCCACACTGCACACTGAGTCGCCACTCCCCCTCCACACTGCACACTGAGTGGCCACTCCCCTTCAACACTGCACACTAAGTGGCTACTGCCCCTCCACACTGCACACTGAGTGGCCACTTCCCCTCACACACTGCACACTGAGTGACCACTCCCCCTCCACACTGAGTGGCCACTCTCCCTCCACACAGCACACTGAGTGGCCACTCTCCCTCACACACTGCACACTAAGTGGCCACTCCCCCTCTCACACTGCACACTGAGTGGCCACTCCCCCTCCACACTGCACACTGAGTCGCCACTCCCCCTCCACACTGCACACTGAGTGGCCACTCCCCCTCCTCACTGCACACTGAGTGGCCACTCCCCATCCACAATGCACACTGAGTGGCCACTCCCCCTCTCACACTGCACACTGAGTGGCCACTCTCCCTCCACACTGCACACTGAGTGGCCACTCCCCCTCCACACTGAGTGGCCACTCCCCCTCTCACACTGCACATTGAGTGGCCACCGTGGCCACTCTCCCTCCACACTGCACACTGAGTGGCCACTCCCCAAAATAAACATTCTGACATTAGAGGGTTGTGGTTTAAAAATATCTGAATATTATATTTTATTCACGGCCATCATTTATAGTAGTCTATTCACAAACTGTTTGCTCAAGCGTAGTGTTTTCTCAGAGTTCACTGTGTAGCGTGCTCCAGCCAAGGTCTGAACCTCCCCTGAATCGTCACGATTATTCATTTGTGGATGTTATCTGAATCTGCAAGTCAGCTACACTGACTGTTTAATTCTGAATATTATATTTTAATCTGGTGCGCTTAACGTTATCGTTTTCTCAGAGTTTAGGCTCCTGTGTAATAGTAGCCTAGGCTATTCAGCAACTCAAACATACCAAACCAACAATTACTAAAAACACACAAAAACAGATTTTGCACGAGCATTGCACTAGTCTAATCAATTCCCCATGGACAAAATCAAGTCCCACTTAAAACTTTTTTTTTTCAATGGAGAACATAAACAAAGAAGGAAGCAGTCACAGTAAAGAACAAACAAACAAGAAAAAAGGTACAAAACAGGGGTATATAACTAATCAGAATAGATCACCTATCAAAGGACGAGATTAAAAGACTTAAATATTTCAATTGTTTTTAAAGCCTTCTTGTTACACGAGTTAGAGATAGTCCTGGACCTGCTTATGAAAACATTATAATTGCAAAGCAATAAAACATTTAATTAGAGGAAAACAATGTGGAATAAAGTTCCAGACAGAGGTTGGATTTTTGAGAAAGCGTTTGACCTAATTAATTTTAAGAGTATTATTAAATGTACAAAAATATACAAGTATCTAATCTACCAAAAGTATGTAAAACAACATATTTCTTGATATAATGTATTTCCCATATGAAATTAAAAAACATTGTCAATATTTATGAAATATTTAACAAACAGTTACTGAACAGCGTAATACATGGCATTCTTTAATTGAAAGTAGTTCTTTTACACATACTTTTTCTTGTTTGATAAGCAGTTTCACTCGGATATACACTCACCTAAAGGATTATTAGGAACACCATACTAACACTATGTTTGACCCCTTTCGCCTTCAGAACTGCCTTAATTCTACGTGGCATTGATTCAACAAGGTGCTGAAAGAATTCTTTAGAAAGGTTGGCCCATATTGATAGGATAGCATCTTGCAGTTGATGGAGATTTGTGGGATGCACATCCAGGGCACGAAGCTCCCGTTCCACCACATCCCAAAGATGCTCTATTGGGTTGAGATCTGGTGACTGTGGGGGCCATTTTAGTACAGTGAACTCATTGTCATGTTCAAGAAAACAATTTGAAATGATTCGAGCTTTGTGACATGGTGCATTATCCTGCTGGAAGTAGCCATCAGAGGATGGGTACATGGTGGCCATAAAGGGATGGACATGGTCAGAAACAATGCTCAGGTAGGCCGTGGCATTTAAAGGATGCCCAATTGGCACTAAGGGGCCTAAAGTGTGCCAAGAAAACATCCCCCACACCATTACACCACCACCACCAGCCTGCACAGTGGTAACAAGGCATGATGGATCCATGTTCTCATTCTGTTTACGCCAAATTCTGACTCTACCATCTGAATGTCTCAACAGAAATCGAGACTCATCAGAACAGGCAACATTTTTCCAGTCTTCAACTGTCCAATTTTGGTGAGCTCTTGCAAATTGTAGCCTCTTTTTCCTATTTGTAGTGGAGATGAGTGGTACCCGGTGGGGTCTTCTGCTGTTGTAGCCCATCCGCCTCAAGGTTGTGCGTGTTGTGGCTTCACAAATGCTTTGCTGCATATCTCGGTTGTAACGAGTGGTTATTTCAGTCAAAGTTGCTCTTCTAACAGCTTGAATCAGTCGGCCCATTCTCCTCTGACCTTTAGCAGCATCAACAAGGCATTTTCGCCCACAGGACTGCCGCATACTGTATGTTTTTCCCTTTTCACACCATTCTTTGTAAACCCTAGAAATGGTTGTGCGTGAAAATCCCAGTAACTGAGCAGATTGTGAAATACTCAGACCGGCCCATCTGGCACCAACAACCATGCCACGCTCAAAATTGCTTAAATCACCTTTCTTTCCCATTCTGACATTCAGTTTGGAGTTCAGGAGATTGTCTTGACCAGGACCACACCCCTAAATGCATTGAAGCAACTACCATGTGATTGGTTGATTAGATAATTGCATTAATGAGAAATTGAACAGGTGTTCCTAATAATCCTTTATGTGAGTGTACGTCACAATAGAGAAGCCTTACGTTATGCTAACTAACATAGAATGTACCTCTGAATATAAAATAAATACAACTAAAAGAAATATTTGCAGACAATGAAATTTGTTCAAGAAAACACTATTTATTGTACGATACACAGTTTAAATAAGTGTCAAAAGATTTTCAAAAAAGACTATGATACAACACTGATAAAAAGATTTTACGCAAGAAAGTTAGAGCTGACAGCAGTCTGAAATACAAGCTGGATATGCAATATTAAATGCAAACCATGCCTTTTAAGGATTTTATGGCATTTGTGTGTAATAAGGATTATATTGCAGACCCAAATAAAAGTACAGTAGTTCATTGGTAAATATAGTAAAATGTAGTGTTACAAAAGAAAACTATTTTTTTTTTCATAGAGGGGAATGGAACAATGTTATAAACTAAACTGATTATTACTTAAAATCATTAAATACAACAAATTGTAAATATAAGTCTCAAATTTCCATGTACATATAACCAAAGTTTCTTCATGAATGTATTGACAGTTTTAACAAGCACATATTTGATCAGATTTCTCAAACTATTTTTTACTATGAGAACGCAGAGTCATAAACGATCCTAATAATCAAGATGCAACTGTAATGAGACAGAACATTGTGCACTTAATCTATACTTCCTATTCAAGACAAGTATTTACAGAAAACAAGAGACAGGAACATAATGCAGAGAAATCAAATGCAGCAATAAAAAAAAAATTACATGGCACAACAGATTTAAAATAACTCCGATTAAGTTACACATTGGAAAGCTGCTAACTGAGGGAAAGCTGAATTGGAGTTTAAGATGCATTATATAATCAGTCTCTCCCTCTGTCAAAAAAAAATAAAAAATAAAAAAATTAATGAATCAATGGTCTGAAAATAAAGGTATACTATCTTCATTTAAAGCAATAGGGTTGTGATATCATGAGATGGAGAAGCAGGTTCTGAGTCCAGCAGGCCAATAATCACATTCCAAACATGATCCTGCAAGAAGAAATATAACATTGCATTATTTCAAGATTAACTAATGCACTTCCAAAAAATGGATATCATATAGCAGAGTCCAAAAAAAGACTTACCTTTGGTGTGTTTTATCTTGAACCAATACTTCTATCCTCAAAAATAGTGATCTCCACCTTTAAAAACTCAAGTTGAGGAAATCTAGTGCTGCAAAACTCTGAAAGTGTTTTTTCCCTGCGATACAGACATGGAAGTTGACTGCTCACCTACAAGAAAATCTATGAAATATTCAGTTTTAGCAGCCAAAGACGTATGACTAAATTAAGGTTTTCCATGTCAAATACGATTTGTATCAAACTTGAACATGGGGAGAAAAAAGCTTCTCATTTCTTTTCCTTGAGCAAGACATCTTTATCTGATGTACACCACTGTTCAAAAGTTTGGGGTCAGTAAGATTTTTGAAAAGTCTCATGTTCACCATTTATTTGATCAAAAATACAATAAAAACAGGAAAATTGTGAAATATTATTAAAGTTTAAAATAACTTTTCTCTTTTAATATATAATATATAAATGTAATTTTTTCAGTGGCCATTGTCACATGATCCTTCAGAAATCATTCTAATATGCGGATTTGCTGCTCAAGACACATTTTTTATTATCAATGTTGAAAACAGTTCATATTTTGGTGGAAACTGATCTTTTTTTTTTTTCAAGATTCCTTGATGAACAGAAAGGTCATTAGAACAGTGTTTAATTGAAATAGAAATCTTTTGCAACATTATAAAAGTCTTTGCAGTCACTTTCGATCAAACTAATGCATCCTTGCTAAATAAAAGTATTAATTTCTTACTGACCCCAAAATTTGAACGGTAGAGCAAATTCCTAAATATTAAATGTTACCAGAATTCAATGACAATTCCACCAGGGGACAGAAAGACCCGCATGATGTTTCGATGTAGGAAAGGATACAACCCTGAGTCCCCTCTCTATGGGGTCAGTCAGGAGAAGCCCAAGGGGAGCAAAGATCTTCTCATTCTGCTCCTGGATGTACTTGGCAATCTTTTTCAGCACCTGCAAGAATTAGCGTATTGTTGAAATCCATATCGACAATGTCATATTGATGATATCTACAGCCTACAACACTGTCAACTGACTTTCTCATAGTGGGTCTCCATGCAGAGGAAGATTGTGTACGCAGTGAGGCAGGCCAGACAGCCCTCCAGATAAGACCTGCCGCCCAGCTTCTCCGCCTCTGCATAGAGATTATTCAGGGTCTGCATGGTCTCCTCAAACTGCTGCTTGTCAATCTGAGACAACAAAACAATTATCAGCATTCACACTCAGTGAGAGGTGTGAACTAGAAGTACAATCACAGCAGAACATTCAAATCTGCATTGAGAGAGCAGTTGTCATACATAGTTAGGGAACACCGGCTCACAAACAGTCTTTTCAACCACACTGTATCATTATTTCTATCTTACAATAACTCATTATCACAGAAGTACTGGGATAAAAGTTTAAAGTTTGGATATAAACACTGATGTCTACAGTAGTGATCAAAATAGAGTAAATGACCTTTTGAAAGCAACTTGTTGCTTCAAATATATGGGGTTAGATTTGGGTCACAATTCTGCGCGCGCAAGATCACATTGTTGAGCGTGCAAAAGGGCATTTCGCACGCGCGTGAACTGAAAATATTCATTCGTCTCGCAGATAAGAAATTATTTCGAGCGAACGAAAATCAATTTTGCATTTAAAATACGTATTTGGATGTGCGCAGACGTTCTCTTTCGCAAGTGGAAAGTTTCACTTTCTTGCTCCTCTCATACCAGCCCTGAGCGCTCTCTGTGGTTCTCAAACCTGTCCTGGCGCCCCCCCAACACTGCGTGTTTTCTTTGTCTCCCCAATCAAACACACCTGATTCAACTCGTCAGCTTATTAACCCATGTGATTATGAGCTAATGAGTTGAATCAGGTGTGTTTGATTAGGGAGACAAAGAAAACGCGCAGTGTTGGGGGGGCGCCAGGACCGGTTTGAGAACAACCCAGCGTTACAATATGCCATAATTCCAGCCAATCAGAGATGTCTGGCTTGACAACCAATCACAAGACTCCCTGCATCACCGACAGCAGAAGAGGAAAATTACATGGTGGAAGAGATGTTTTTTAATGGCTTGAACGCTTTAATTAACATTAGTGGAATATGAATCTGACCGAGCTGGGGTCTCAAATGTTACACGTTTTCAGAAATAAAGATGGACAGACTTTTCCCCCTTTAATGAGATAAGTGTGTAAAAACGGTACATCACTCCATTAGAATAAAAAAAAAAAGCCATCAAATAAACATAGCCTAGAAATGCAATGTAATAATAAAATAATAATCAATCTACTTCATATCCTTATAATTATTTAAACAAAAACATTCACAGCAGGGATGTTCTGTAAAAACAACTATCGTACTAAAAATATAGACTATTTTCTTATACCATTTAGGATGGATCGTGTGCACATTGGGATGCAGGCTTATTCCCCTTACTGCAAAAAAAAAAAAAAAAAAGACATGTGGGGAACAATGCAAACATATAATGCAAATATAACCGTAAATGGAAATCTTGGGGGTGTGACCCACAAGACTTCTAACACATAATTACTCGCATAATTAGATTTTAATTTTTTTGCAGTGTGTATACAATCCATCCTAAAAGTAGTTAAGATTACTAATCCAGTCTATATTTTTACAGCTCGGTCACAATCATATTCCACTAATGTTAATTACATAACTTGGAGTTCAGAGCTTGCCACTTGAGGTGTAGGAAACCCTGGGACATGCCATTATGTACAGTAATAGTACGATTTGATTTTTATTAAAAATAAGCTAGTTACATGTGGTCGTCGAGTAGTAGACATTTGAACTTAAATTAAAGTGTTCAAGCCATTAAAAAAAACATCTCTTCCACCATGTAATTTTCCTCTTCTGCTGTCTGTGTTGCAGGGAGTCTTGTGATTGGTTGTCAAGCCAGCCAATCAGAATTTAGCAGCCTCATCTCTGATTGGCTGGAATTATGGCATATTGTAACGCTGGGTTGTGTTGAGCAAGTGCTTAGAGAGCGCTCAGGGCTGGTATGAGAGGAGCAAGAAAGTGAAACTTTGCACTTGCGAAAGAGAAGTCTGCTCTGCGCACATCCAAATACTTACTTTAAATGCAAAATTGATTTTCGTTTGCTCTAGTAAATATTTTCTTATCTGCGAGATGAACATTTTTCCGCAAAACGCGTGCAGAATTGTGACCGAAATCTAACCCCATACAAATAAAGATCAATTACATTGTTACACTAGTAGGTGGCGACAAGTGACTTAATGTATTTGTCAGTAGCTATGTTTCCATCCATCCATTTTTTTATGTACATTTTGGGATATCGCATAATAATACATAAATATATAGTGTGTTTGCTATGGATCTCTACACACCCTGCTCTCCAGCTCTGCAGGGAACTTGGTCTGAAACTTGCAGATAGTGCCGGAAGCGTAGTCTCTCTGAACGAAAACCTTGGAGGCGACGGCTGCTTGCCGCAGGTCCTGCAAGCTGTGCGTCTGGAGAGAAAACAAGAGAGTGGGTAATGAGTATTGTTAAAAACATAGGAAATATTACATTTTATCAGCCAAAGCTGAAAACTAAACTTACGTTTTCCATGTCAAAAGAATATGATTTCTATTTTATTTGTAAATACAGGTAAACTTTTTTTCACCCTAGCAAGACATCTTTATCTTTAACATACACTACTATCATTTAAAAGTTTATGAAAGAAGTCTCTTATGCTCATCAAGCCTGCGTTTATTTGATCAAAAATACAGTAAAACAATAGAATTGTTTAGTATTATAACAATTTCAGTTTTCTATTCGAATATATTTAAAAATGCAATTTATTCCTGTGATGACAAAGCTGAACTTTTTTGCATCATTACTCCAGTGGCACATGATCCTTCAGAAATCATTCTAATTTGATGATTTGTTGCTAAAAAAAAATAATATTTCTTATTATTATCAAATTAATGAGAAATTAAAAACAGGAAATCATATCCACACAGAAACCTCACACAACGCCCTTATAGCACCATGTTCAAATAACACTACTGAAATCTGATGACAACACGAAGCTCGCTCTAAACATGACACCTGGTTTTATATTTATACGTGTATAGTGACAGTGAAACTTAGGATTTGAATTTTACTAAAGTTACTGATCGACGTAGATAATTATCTTTGACGACCACTAGAGAAGCACTAACGTATCGAATAATGACGGTTTACAAAGACACGTATGTATTATCCGATTAGTAGGATAATAAAACACGTATTATAACGTGTTATTTCAGGCGTTAATCCTTGTTAGTGGACAAGAGGAAATTGTAATAAAATGATGTTTTTATTCACATACCTCCGCCATGGTAGCTGCTGCTGCTGCTCCTCTTCCTGTTACTCAACCTCCTGTCCTCCTCAAAATACAGTCCGGTAGGAACCTTTTGCTGTATTCATCAGTTCTGCTGCCACACCAATTCCAAACTAATGACTAATGGGGAGTTCCCCCAAAGTTTTTTTTTTTCAATAAGAATAATATTAGCTCGTGTACCAAAAGTAACGCATTTTTGTTTAAATAACACATCTGAACGTTTAAAATTTAAAATAAATGCCATCACCAGCCCACCGCCATTTTATATGAAATGTTTTCACTCAAATTAGTCCACAAATAGGCGCCTAGGAAACATGTGTGATTCAAATAAAATTGTAAAACATAGAACACCTTACTTAGCTTTTAGTCTATAATTTCTAAGACTGAAGTCATTTCTGACAGTGGGGAGCGCGGGGCACAACGTAACGCGGTGACTAGTTTTTTTTTTTTTTAAGATTCTATGGTTGTAACGCACTTGTACTTCCACACATGCCAGCATGACGAAACTTGGTGTATCTATTTACTAGTTGCCATTTCAACACTAGAGAAAAAAATGCGCCAAAATTCAGAAATCTTTGTAGGCTTTCACTGAACATTTATTTAACCATAGCAAAAGTACATTTTTCATCTCTATTTTTTGTGTTTATTTAAAATGAGACAAATCTGATATTATTTTAATCTCCAATCTGTTGTTTAACAGTTGATATAGTTCTTTAATGCTTCGCTAACAGAAGACACTAGCAGGATTTAAACCCCAGTTGTGCAGTTGGGGCATTGTAACACTGCGTTACAATGTGCCCCTATTAGAAATATGCTATTATATTCTATACTTTTATTAATTCTATTGAGAAAAGATGAGAAACATGTAAATAAAGACTGAGAGTCAATGTTCAGAAATTATTCATTATTATTTTGTTTTGAACTATGCTGTAAATCTGTGTTTTCCGGTGTGTTTGTTGTCAAACTAAAATATGAGTTCATTTTTAATTATTAAAAAATGCCATTATTTTATATGAAAAAGTTAACAATTGTATTTTATTAAGAAAATATTTTGGTTTGACTTGTATTTTTTTTTTATTAGATCAGATAGCATTTTAAGCTGTCATGGTGATGTTAATGTGTCCCTCACATGTTACAATGTACCCCATTTGGGACATGTTGTCACATTTCACTTCCATTCTTTCGGGGTAAATCAAGAAAAAAGTATACACTGTATTAATAAAACAAGACCATATAATTGTACTAGACATGTGGGAAATTAATGTGGGAAAAAATAAATACTCGAAACCCTAAGTAGATTTACACAAACTGAGAAAGTAAAAAAGCGTTACGTTGTGCCCCGCTCTCCCCTACATAACCATGAACCAACCTATACAAGTTTAAATAGGCTATTGATTTAATTGTTAAACCCAACAGAAGTAATGTCTCTGTGGTAAATTAAATTTAATGTAAGGGAGAAGGTAATTAAGGAGAAGATAATTAAGCAATCTGACTATTGAAAATAAAAAGTAAAGGACATGTGTAACAGTTACAGAAATGAATTGGGAGAAGCATGTGGCAGAAAAATAAACTCATAATTTGTCTATAATGTAAGCTATAATCCTCCTTTTAAAAAAGAATGTATTTGTAATTTAGTTTTGCATGTAATTTAAATGTAAAACATATGTTATCTCATCTAATATTGTATTTGTTTGCCAGCATTAGGACACGTCCGAACATTTCGGAGAGGATGACATTGTGTCTCTAAATGAGAAAAGGAAACAGCCCAGTCCAGCTTACTAAAAGTAAACTGATGTTTATTCACGATAACGCTCACTTTTATCACAGATGCATTTGTGATACTGAGCTAAACCTAGGAGGAAACTATAATGCCTAAAACAGTTATTTCCTTGTCTCCATCTGTCTTTTTACAACAGAGAAAAGTCTTTATGATTGAGAATACAAAGAATCACTCTTACAGCAGTTCAGTCATCCTTGCATGATAAATGATTCATAAGAAGGATCATTTATTGCTAAAGGTTCCCTTGGGAAACCTGGGCCATTTTTCACCATCACTCAGTTCCTTTTAAACAGTACTGGATCATCTCACTTGATGGACATAAAAAGCATGTGGCCTTAGAAAGTCTGTGAGATCTGTAAACCATTTGTCAGATCATACAATATTGTGTAAAAATAGGATGTTGCACATGTGATTTTTTAATCTTATCAAGTGTATTATCTGCAGTTTATCAGCAGGCAAAGGTGTTTTATATTTTCTGTTTTAATTTTAGTTAACATTTTAGTAATTACTTTTCATGTTGTGTTTTTTTATGACTAAATAAAAATTAAGTTTTAGTTTATTAGTTTGAGTTATTATAATATTTAAATTAAATGAAAACGAGAAATGTTCTCAGAGAATAAAGTCCACAGAAAAGAAGGTCAGATGAAGATGAATTAAAAAATAAAAGTATTTAATCAAATAAGCTCAGATAATCCACAGGTTATGTAAATGTGTTCTAGTACAAACTCCAAACACAAATAATAACAACTCAGGCAGAGAAATGAGGGGCTTAACAGATAATGAACTAAAACTATTAGCAGGCTGACGATTAAATGAATTACCATAGTAACAAATGAGAGAGGGAAACATGAACAAAACACAGGAAATTAAGATTTTCAAACCAAAAGTCCATTATTATTATTTAATGATTTTTCAGTTAATGTTTATTTTATTTTATTCCAGTAATGAAAATGTTTATGTTAGTTATAACCCTGATCTGGGTAAAATAATTGTAGTTATTGGTACAAACTTTTACTTAAAATTAACCAAATTTAAATGAGACATACATCATCAATTCTTTTTTCAAAGCGTGTTTTTATCTTACCCTGATTCGCTATAAGCCTATTATAAGTGTTTATTTAAAAGATTATCATCATAAAACATTTCATTTATGAATAAAGCATTTTCATCCAGTTAGTCGAAGAAAACAAAATCGTCACTTCCTGACAAACTGACAACCCGATCTCATGAAATGTGTCTCTATAGCAAGCATGTAAATGGAAGTTGTTGCAATAGGAGAACACACTTAAAGGCTATAATGTTTGTATCCTATAATAAATGACTTGGGTCTCAGAGTGTGGGGATGAAACACAATAAACCCAGTCTTGCTTTCAATAAACATCTTGCTTTCAAAGGTGGATGCCTGCTGTCGTGTAAGTTCTGAAAGGTAACTTCATAAGTGCAACGAGAGCGGTCCGCTGGTTGGTCCAGTTATGCCGTCTCATCATACAAAGTCACATGAATTTTTTGATGCGCATAGAGGAATTTATTCGGTAAATGTGTTTCCAAAGTAGTTTATGCGCACGTTTTCGTCTCGGACAAAAAAATGATCCGACTCGTAGCTTGTGTCCCGTTATATCCGTAATAGAGAAAAGTTGCTCCAGCTACTGACACGTGTATACGGTGTGGGAGTGGCATAGTTGTCACAACAAGCGAGAACTGTTGACATGAAGCAGCTAAATCTCGAACCTCCGGGGAATCGCCTGTTTTTGTTTTGATTTTAAAAACGCTGAACACCGGAGAGTCTGCTGGCAAAAAGAAAACGTGACATTCGAAATAAAACAAGAATCAACATTGGCTTGTCTTTTTAGAGATGGCGAGATCTGAGGGATTTGAAATGTTTTTTATGCATTTTTATTACTCAACAGGTAAGTTATTTTATTGAACAGATACATTGCCATATGTAGCTCTCTAACAGTTCATTGTAAAGCATTATATTGTGAAAGGTCATATTCATTCAGTCATGCAGTTGTTTTATAACGCTGTAGGGTCAAAAGTCACACAGTGTACCTTTAATAAAAATATTAAGAACTCAAAGTAAAAATAATTGTTTTTTTTATTTCGAATTATTAAAAATCGTCTGTCGGTGCTGTGAAGAGAGCGGGTGTTTGCCATGTTTTACTAAATTGAAGAACTATTTTAAAATTGGATTTATCGACTACCACTAGTCTGAACAAAAGTGTTAGCCCAAAACTATTGTAAGCCTATATCAAACCAAAAACACAACTCAGTCCTCAATCATTTCCTAGTGCTCTGCAACTTTATTTATATTTCACCAAATCAATGTCATGGGAACAGAAAATATGTTTAACTAGAGAGTGCTGTCTAAAATATCAGGAAAATATCTGATTCCATGCCAAGTCAAAGGAGACTTTCATAAATCTCTGAACGACTCCTATTTCTCCTTGCAATCTCTGAGATTCTTCCAACAGGTGGTCTCATTGGAGGGATATGTGGTCTAAAGATCTTCTTGTGTGGAGAGAAAAAAAGGTGGGTAAACACATCCTTATGATAGATGTATTTTGGTGTAATTAAAACATCTTAAGTGATGACTAGTTTGGCATCTCATGATAGCATGTCTGTTTTTATTCAACTGTCACTTCATTATGAAGATTGTGAAATAATTCTGCTCTGTGTGGTTATGAAAGCCAGTACGCAGCTGCAGTAATGTGATAGAGGAAATGCACACACTGATTTTTGTGATGGCTGAAGTTAGTATTTGAGTAGAAATTCAGCAAAAAAAAAAAAAAAAAAAAAAACTAGATGCATTTTGAAAGCATCTGCATCCCAGTCCCAGAAACCGAGCCAAAAGGCGCAGATGCTGCATTGTAAACTCTGAATAATGTGTCTTTGTAGCAGAGGAGCCATCCAGCTTGCTGTGACCAACTTGACAAACACTGTTATAAATCAGGCTGTGGAACTTTTATAGAAATAGATCAGACATTTTACAGATGCACCACTGACACAGTCCATCTACAGCCATTTTCACTTTCATTTTATTAGTCTGTTACTGTTATAAGGTGAGAGAAAACCCAACAGCGAATCACAGTCAAAGTGTCTTTAATTCAACCAAATGAGGAAGCCGCCAGCAACTGAAATGATCTTGTAGGAAAATGTACAACAGAAACAGCCGGTACTAGGGCCAGATTAACACTAACAGAAAGAATCCTCCTTGGGAGTGCGTGGGTGGCAGACAGCAAGGATAAAGCAGCAAGGCGGCGGCTATCCTCTGGTCACTCGGGAAACACA